ATATATATATATATATATATATATATATATATATATATATATATATATATATAACTGTCGTGACTGAAAACAAGTGATATCCCTTTATCAACCCTTAAGTAATTGTTTTTGTCTAGAATTTGGTAATGTAACAAGACCCTATATCTACAAACCCATGGTTCATGTTATTTAGTGACTACCGGCATCACCACTGACAATCCTACTTTGCTTTTTTTATGAAAACATTAAAAATAACTCAACAAAGGCAACAAAGATAAATAAAATCTCGATTATGTGATGACATTATACCTGCTTTCACTACTATTTTATTACTATGTTTCTTTATCTGTGTCTTTAAAACACTAATGCAGTTAAAAGAGGTTGTAAAGTCTGACTTATCAATGTCATGATTTGGAAATGTTAGCCTTCTTACTGTCCCTACGAGCCAGTAATCACAAGTCGGTCTTTGTTGTTAACAGAGCCTATTAAATACTTCCATATGCGTCAGGTACTACTTGAACCAATAAAACTTATTCTATCGCTTTGATATAACCCATTAGTAATATGAGACTTCGTTCAGTTGGTGTACTTACTTACTTACTTAATTACTTTCGCCTGTTACTCCTAATGGAGCATAGGCCGCTGACCAGCATTCTCCAACTCACTCTGTCCTAGGTCTTGTTTTCTAGTTCCATCCAATTCTTGTTCATTTTTCTCATGTCTATTTCCATTTCTCGGCGTAATGTACTCTTTGGTCTCCCACTTTTTCTTTGGACTTGAGGATTCCATGTGAGGGCTTGTCTTGTGACGCAGTCGGGTGCTTACCTCAATGTGTGTCCTATACACTTCCAGCGCTTCTTTGTGATTTCTTCCTCCGCTGGGATCTGGTTTGTTCTCTCCCACAGTACGTTGTTGCTAATAATGTCCGGCCAATGGATCTGAAGTATTTTGCGCAGACAACTGTTAATGAACACTTGTATTTTCTGGATGATGGCTTTCCTAGTTCTCTAGGTTTCCGCCCCATACAGTAGAACTATCTTGACATTTGTATTGAAAATCCTGACCTTGGTGTTGGTTGACAGTTGCTTTGAGTTCCAGATGTTCCTCAGTTGTAAATATGCTGCTCTTGCTTTGCCGATCCGCGCCTTCACATCTGCATCAGATCCACCATGTTCATCAATGATGCCGCCCAGATATGTAAAGGTGTTTACGTCTTCCAAATCTTCTCCATCAACTGTAATTGGATTGGTGCATGTTGTGTTGTATCGGAGAACCTTGTTCTTCCCTTTGTGTATATTGAGACCTACTGCTGCTGAGGCTGCTGCTACACTGGTCGTCTTCTCCTGCATTTGTTGTTGCGTGTGCGATAGAAGAGCCACATCATCTGCAAGGTCTAGGTCGCCTAACTGCATCCTAGATGTCCACTGTATCCAGTGCTTCCCTTCAGACGTTGACGTCTTCATGATCCAGTCGATCACCAGGAGAAAGAGAAAGGGTGAGAGTAAGCAACCTTGCCTGACACCGGTCTTTACTTCGAACGACTTTGTCAACTGTCCTCCATGCACAATTTTGCAGTGTAATCCATCATATGAGTTCTGTATGATATTGACTATCTTCTGAGGCACGTCGTAGTGTCGAAGAAGTTTCCATAGTGTTGTTCTGTCCACGCTATCAAATGCCTTTTCGTAGTCAATGAAGTTGATGTAGAGTGATGAATTCCATTCAATTGATTGTTCCACAATGATCCGTAGAGTTGCGATTTGGTCTGTACACGATCGATCCTTACGGAATCCTGCCTGTTGATCACGAAGTTGGGCGTCTACGCAGTCCTTCATCCTGTTTAACAATACCCTGTTGAAGACTTTTCCCGTTATTGAGAGAAGAGTGATGCCCCTGTAGTTATCACACTTGCTGAGATCGCCTTTCTTCGGTATTTTGATTAGAAGTCCTTCTTTCCAGTCTGTTGGTACTTGTTCCCCATCCCAAACCTTATTGAAGAGAATGTGGAGTATCCTTGCAGTTGCCGCTACGTCTGCTTTTAGTGCCTCTGCTGGGATGTTGTCCGGTCCTGTTGCTTTGCCACTCTTGATTTGTCTGATGGCCATGTTGATTTCTTCAATTGTTGATGGGTCAACAACGATTGGGAGGTCCGTGGGTGCTGCTTCGATGTTGGGTGGGTTCAGTGGAGCTGGTCGATTCAACAGTTCTTTGAAGTGTTCTACCCACCTGTTTTGTTGCTCATCAATGTTGGTGATTACCTTGCCTTCCTTGCTTTTCACTGTTCGTTCTGGTTTGCGGCGATTTCCAGAGAGTTTCTTTGTCGTGTCATACAATTGTCTCATGTTTCCTTCTCTTGAAGCCTTTTCCGCCGTCGTTGCTAAATCTTCCACATATTTACGTTTGTCGGTTCTGATGCTCCTTTTCACTTGTTTGTTTGTTTCCGTGTATTCAGCTTGTGCCTTGGCTTTATCTGCTTTTGTTCGTCTGGTATTGATTGCTGCCTTCTTGTTCCTCCTTTCTTGAACCTTATCCAGTGTATCAACAGTGATCCATTCCTTGTGATGTTGCTTCTTGTGGCTCAGGACCTCATGGCATATTGAAGTGATTGCCTCCTTGATCCCCTTCCAGTTTCTCTCCATAGTAGTCCCTTCTCCATTGAGTAGATCATGAAAGGCCTGGAACCTATTGCTGAGGACTATCTTGAATTTGTTGAGTTTGTCAATATCCTGAAGAAAGGCCGTGTTGAACATTTGTGATATTGTCCGCCCCATTGTCCAGTGCTTCTTGAGTTTCAATTTCATCTTGTCGACCAGCAAGTGATGATCTGATGCTATATCAGCTCCTCTCTTGGTTCTCACGTCCTCCATCGTCCTCCTGAACTTTTTGTTGATGCAAATATGGTCGATTTGGTTCTGTGTAGTGTGATCCGGTGAAGTCCATGTGGTTTTGTGAATGCGTTTATGTGAGAATATAGTGCCGCCTATGACCAGTTTATTGAAGGCACATAGGTTCGCAAATATCTCACTATTTCCGTTCCTTTCTCCCAGTCCGTGTCGTCTCAAGATGTCTTCATATCCGGTGTTGTCCATTCCAACCTTGGCATTAAAATCTCCCATCAGAATGGTCAGGTCCTTTGTTGGGCACTTCTCGACGATTGACTGCAGCCTATTGTAGAATTGATCTTTAACTTCTTCATTGTAGTCGTTGGTAGGCGCATAGCATTGGATGATGTTCATTGAAATACCCTCTTTCTTTGTTTTGAAGGAGGCTTTGATGATCCTTGATCCATGAGATTCCCATCCTATAAGTGCTTTTTGCGCTTGTTTGGACAGCATCAATGCAACTCCTTGTGTATGTGGGGCATTTTCTTCTTCATGGCCGGAGTACAACAGAAGCTCCCCTGAAGTTAGCCGTTGTTGTCCAACTTGCGTCCAATGTGTTTCACTGATCCCAAGCACCTCCAGGTTGTATCTTCTCATTTCTGCAGCGATTTGGAAGGCTTTCCCGCTGTCCCACATTGTACGAACATTCCATGTACCTAAATAAATGGTTGCTCTGGTTGTCAGAAGGGGCATCGGCCTCGTAACTTCCGAAGAAACTCGGCTTTCATCATGAGGCGTCATAGTTCTTCTAAGTAAAGACCTTCTGACTCCCAGGGCAGAGTTTAAAAGGTTTGAATAATTTTTTCTGGTTAGCGTTGTTTTAGCGAGTTAGTTTTCTACAGGATGGGGCCGCTAACCCCATTTCCAACCGTTCTCCTTTATCCGGGCTTGAGACCGGCAGTAGCCCTTGGAGGGACTCCAGACAAAGTTGATGTAGCATGGTCAATATATCGAGCCCAGTGAAGGTGGACCTCATATAACGTACTTGTTCAAATTCCTTTGCAATGAGACCTTTTTCTTGTCTAGCGAGTTTAAAGAAGTAATTAAGGAAATCAGTAATTTACTGCCAAAAAAGGCTTAGCTTGGTGGTACTGACGGAACGGAGACTGATAGTTCGTTTAGTCTTCACTTACTATACTCCAAGTAGTATTACTGATAACTGATGGTTTCTAATGGCCACTCAATCAATATGGTATTCATACCCATTTCCAGGGTTCCGAATAGTGGACATTTAGGACTATATTTTTCATGAAATATATATCTCTGAAAACGCGTACCAAATTCACAGTTTGTTTATCTTCAAGACCTGATACCACAAAACTCAGAAATAAATAAGGATTCTAAGAGTAGCTGAGTGTCTCAACACATGATCATAGTAATCCCCCAGTTTAATAAACACAAAATAAATTATCATGATTTTTCAGACTTTTATTCTATACAACAGTCACACTACCTCGTTAAAAAATATGTCATACTACGTTAATAAAGCGGAACAGTGTGACATTTGAAATGCCTAAAAGGATGAAAATCTGAAGTGTAAACAGATGAATTCTGATAGTGGAAGAAATCGCCCGAAGAAATTTTTTTTACAATTCAGTAAACTACTGATTTCTTTAGTTATTCAGAATTATTATAGCGGTAAATTTTATCTTAAGCTAAATGAAATTCTCCATATCTAATTTAAAACAATTCTGTACACTAACCAGTGAACTAAACTACTTTTCTCTGTTTAAAATAATAAGAATGACGACAAGTTTGTTTAGTTTTTTTGCTTTTAAACGCACACAAATCTATCGCTCACGTTTCATTTGTTTCGATTATAATTATTTGTTGATAAAAATCGATAAATTTTATTCCATACAACATCTATTTTCTGAGTGTTACAATAATTGACCTTTCCAGTAATTGTAAGAATATTTATAATGACCTGTGACTCAGTGTGACCCTGAGAAATTAAATAAATACTTCACTTGAATAAAACTTTCTTCATTCTTAGTGAACTTCATCTGGATACTTATATTTCTAATTTCTCTGTTTTTAAGAATAAATTAAGTCTGTTGCATATTTACTTTAAATTGGAATATTTCTAAATCTTTTTTTCTTAACTATCGTGTCAAAAAACCATATTATTGAGCTCAGATGTTGCAGCTAGGTAAGTTGAGAACAAATATTAAATGACTATCATAATAATCATTTTAAAAATGAATAAGATTTTAATAAATTGGGACGTAGTAGTTAGACATTTGGTTGCTGAGATATATGTCAGAAAATCTGACAAAATCTTGCTCATTGTCGGTCATAAAACATAAAACTTTCAGCATTTTTAAAAAGATGTTTCGATCTTTTAGTCCGATCACTAGGAGTTTTCTCTATAATAGAAAAATATACATGTAGACTATGAAGTATATAACAGCTGCATGAGCAGTTGATATGTTCAGACATAATCTGTATCAATAACAGGCTTTTTTTTCATTAGATCATTAATTATCAACATTAAACCTTTGACAAACAACATTACCCCATTGCTTCCATCAGGGTAGATACATTAGTGATCATTAGTAAGAATCGCACATTTGGTTTTGCAGAATAATAAGTTGAGTGATTCCATAGAATGTGCTATCATACTTTGATAATTTATGCTTCAGCTAAATAATATCAAAACAATAAGAAATATTGTGCGGTTGATGATAGTCGACGGGAAACCCTTAACTCAGGTTTTATGCTAATTAACGTTTGTCACAAAATTTATAAACCCTAAAAACACACATAAGGTATTTACCTTATTGTTAGACCATAGAGCTCTAGTAGACATTTTCAAATCTCAAATCTTATTTTTCCTAAAGACAGCGGTCTGAAATATTGTTTTATTTTTTTTCATTTCAAGATTCCAAATCGAAGTACAAACCTGAATTTAATGACCAGTCACAGTCGTCCATCCCAAAGCTCCCTGAGTTGAGTTTTCAAGATGTTGAGAAATATTTTTCCGATTTGTGGTTTGAGCAAATATCTATCAGTGAAGCGGTTAACAGAAGTGAGTATCATACGTCAAATACAGCTGAGAGAAATTGTCGAACGACCTCATCATCTGACGAACAGTTGTATAACACTGAAAATCATTTGTTAACAAACCAATTATCCATGTTTCCTAAAAATACCAACAGCCATAAAATGAGCACGGTTGAAAATAGACGTAAAAGACGCTGGAAAACTATGGCACGTGCTATGATTCCTAAAACACAATATTTTTAATAGCCTTAAATAATTTCAAAAATCACAAAGTCCTAATTGTTGCTTACGTCTATATTGTAAAAACTAACCATAATAGCTTTATTTAGATTCACAAGAATGATGTATAAATTCTTAAAAATAACTTGGTAATTTTTTTACTGAATATTGCATTTCATAAAGTTTCTAATCAATACCTTGTTTTCCATATATCTGTCAGGTGATATCACTTTTGGCTATCAGGTTGGATACAGAAGTTCCATAATCTATCGATGTCAGTGATTAAGAATATAAGGATTTCAATGATCAAGTCATCAACTTCAAGTTAGTATTTATCCATCACTTTCAATGAATTTTAAGAAATGCTTTCTCTAAAGTATAGGAAATGTCATACCTGTTGACACTAGTGATCTTGATGTAACTTGGAGAAAACTGATACTTACCACAGAAAACCGTGATTCCCACGGTTCAAGAAAGAAGACGAAGACAATAGATGAGGATTTGTTATGCATGAAAAATAAATCAAAACTATATCCGAATATATGAACTTTTATGTATTTTCTTTACACTGATCAGTATTCAGGTTGGAATAAATTAAATCGTATAGCACTTGTCACTAACAAATTAATAACTACATGAACAAAAATGTATCATATAAGACTAAACATCCGTCACCAGCACATATAGTTAATTTAGTAAATTATCTGATTAAGTACCATAGATAACTAGAGGAAATCGATTTTGTAGATCAGTCGCACTTTAATAAATTAATATTTGTTTGATCGTCTTACAAGTACTAGAAGTAGACACTCGTCTTCTGAAATATTGTATAATTGTTTGCTAGAATCCTGAAACAGAATATTAATTTACAATGGGTGCCTACTGATTATTACTAATTATTTCCTATAAGTAATGTGAACTAGAGTAAGTAGGTATAGTTAAATAAAACAATTCAGACTACAAACAAATCCTCATAGGATACTACTACAAAAGGTTACAATATAGGCTTGGCCAGTTGTGATTACTAAGTGATCATCATTTCGTCTTCATGATGTAAGTGAAGTATTAATCTATGGGATAAGGCAATAAGAACTGAAATAAAAATTAACTAATGTAGATATTATCAGAAGGGGTTTGTGGAGATTTTAGAAATTTTCACAGATTTAAATCATGAGTCAGTTGAAGCTAGACCACCATTGAAAACCTGGAAGCACTGGACGGCCGTTTCGTCCTAGTATGGGACTCCTCAGCAGTGCGCATCCACGATCCCGCACCACGCGGGGCTCGAACCCAGGACCTACTGGCTTCGCGCGCGAGCACTTAGCCATTAGACCACTGAGCCGGCATCCAACGGTGTTAATGTCTAACTTCAACCAATCCACGAAGTTGCGCCACCATATACCATTGTCTTCAGTGAGCTGATATCTCACAACAGACCTGGTTGAACTCCACTGGTAACGGCTTCCCACTAGAACTCCAGGAGTATCTCTTGAAGTCAGTCACTAGTGAGCAGATGATTATTATCAGAAGGGGTTTGTGGAGATTTTAGAAATTTTCACAGATTTAAATCATGAGTCAGTTGAAGCTAGACCACCATTGAAAACCTGGAAGCACTGGACGGCCGTTTCGTCCTAGTATGGGACTCCTCAGCAGTGCGCATCCACGATCCCGCACCACGCGGGGCTCGAACCCAGGACCTACTGGCTTCGCGCGCGAGCACTTAACCATTAGACCACTGAGCCGGCATCCAACGGTGTTAATGTCTAACTTCAACCAATCCACGAAGTTGCGCCACCATATACCATTGTCTTCAGTGAGCTGATATCTCACAACAGACCTGGTTGAACTCCACTGGTAACGGCTTCCCACTAGAACTCCAGGAGTATCTCTTGAAGTCAGTCACTAGTGAGCAGATGATTATTATCAGAAGGGGTTTGTGGAGATTTTAGAAATTTTCACAGATTTAAATCATGAGTCAGTTGAAGCTAGACCACCATTGAAAACCTGGAAGCAGTGGACTGACTTCAAGTGATACTCCTGGAGTTCTAGTGGGAAGCCGTTACCAGTGGAGTTCAACCAGGTCTGTTGTGAGATATCAGCTCACTGAAAACAATGGTATATGGTGGCGCAACTTCGTGGATTGGTTGAAGTTAGACATTAACACCGTTGGATGCCGGCTCAGTGGTCTAATGGTTAAGTGCTCGCGCGCGAAGCCAGTAGGTCCTGGGTTCGAGCCCCGCGTGGTGCGGGATCGTGGATGCGCACTGCTGAGGAGTCCCATACTAGGACGAAACGGCCGTCCAGTGCTTCCAGGTTTTCAATGGTGGTCTAGCTTCAACTGACTCATGATTTAAATCTGTGATAATGTAGATATTATCGTATAGAAATTCATCTTTTCCGGAGGACTTTAAATACCATAAATCACACTACTACTTCAACTTTTTAATGGAAAGTGATTTAGAAATTATAAGAAATTTGTAAATCCATGAAGTCATATGACAAATTTTAGTTCAAATTTGTTGCTAGTTTTTGTACCGCTGAAAAGAGATTTTGCATGTTGTTAAAAAGAAGAAATGAATGAGAATTTACGATTACTAACAGAAGCACAAGTCTAAAATCTGATGAATGAATGAATAATGATGATTGAGGATTATGTAACTAAAAGAACATGGAAAGCCCGATTTTGAGTTCTTTATTTTTAAAAAAAGAAACGTAATTCAGCTCTTAATAAACCATGGGAAATTTTTTAATAATTCAACTTCCAAAGTTCGAAAAATATCTATCTGTAGTCCAGTGTCAATTAAATATCAAGCAACTCACGAATGAGACAATTCCATTTCATCAGTCGCATTCTCACAGACAGACCATTCTTTATTCTTGTGTGAAATAACTGTTTGGAAAGAGATGGATTATTCAGTCTACACTGCAAATGGTAACATAGTGCTTACTGGTATTTAATAACACAGGTCAGTAAGCCATTCGAGATAGTCGCAATAACTTGACTGTAGATATCACGACTTATGTGGTGAATACTCTTTCCTTCATTATCTCTCAGGCATTATAACATCTAAACTCGAGATATTTGAGTATTAGATAGGTATTTATTGATTTCTAACGTTTTTATTGATAGGTTTTTTAAAAGGAATTATTTGAAGTTATAAATAATTCATCATCTAATATATTACATTGACATACTAAGTTCCTATAAATAATATTATATATAACACTGGACTATAACCGCATGTTAAGCTTCTTAAAGGCTGTTATATATATGAATTCAAAATATAACCATTGGGAACATCGTTTTAGTGTCTCATCAGCTTAATCAAAAGTACCAACTGTCGAACAAGTTTCAGCTTTATTTTAGTCACGTATTACTGGACATAAAAGCTGACACTTTCTTTCGCTGCATTAATATGTTCCGTATTCTGACATCTAAAAAGCACGTACCTAAAGAAAATCTGATGATGATCCGATTAATTATCTCATTGTTTCTTAAGTACATTCAGTATAGTACATATTCTTTCTGTTCTGTGAGTGTTTTGACCAGTGCCCTTTTGTAACTGATTGGACAAAAGCTATTGAAAGTCAGATAACTCCGATTCTATGTGTCCTTTTTATAAACTGAACGTGAAGCATTAGCAATCAAACGTCTAAAACCAGACCTATGTATACAAAAAGAGACAGTAATAAATCTTTCTTTACCCTGGTAACAATACCCCCTTTTTTACTCACTTATTTCTACTTATTTGTTTCTTCATTTCTTTATTTATTGCGTCATTATTCCAACTCTTTCTGAAGTTTAAATTACATCATACATAACTGACTGATTTCAATTCATATTTTCTTTATTACCATTATTCTATTTTCATGAGTTCTAGTCACTATTTCAATGTTCCGGAACTTTCCCTCTCAACCTTTATTTATTCGAGACAAGATTTTATGACCTCATTAACTCTAGCGGAATCTTCGCTACACCATGATACATTTATTCATCCTTAATCACCCTCTTATGTATAAGTATGTCAATATCTGTAATAATGTTGAATTTTAAATATTTTAGGTTGTGAGCAGCTGATGAGAACCTAACGAAATAAAATGAATTTATATTATTCTGCACCAATCTTTGTTCTTGCTCTCTTTAAGATAATAAAGGGAACTATGTGTGTGAAATTATTATTATTCATTTGAACACATAAATATTGGTACAAGGAGGCACCAAATACATATGCAGCTCACAAGTCACTTGATTTGTGTGTGGGGTGTGATACTACTCGGGTACCCAAACAGAAGCAAGTGGTTTTCCTAGGGGGCCACACCCTGAGCCTTTGACCTAAAGGTCTGATCCACAAGGTAGTGGAGCATCGTAAGGAGATGCAGTCCCATGGTAGCCAGTGATCAACGATTGTTTCACACGCCATTTGTTCCCGCAGGATACTGGAGCCCATGTGCACCATTGGTTTGGAATCACAGTTTTCCAACTCACCTAGATGGACTCTCCATGTCCACCAATCCAGTTGAAGCACCGGACATTCACTTTTCGTCCTCTTAATTTCGTAAACAATAATAATGCCTCGAGAGGGCAGTGAGTAGGGCTTCCCTGACAGTGGCTGTATATGCGTGACCATGTGAGAGTATTTCGATAGGGAGTGCTGACTCTTCCCAACCTCAACCGTACCAGGGTATTTGGAGGCATCTGTCATTAGAGTAATTACTATCTCATATTAAGTAGAACTGTACTTTATATGATAGTATGCTCAAGAGTAGAATGAATAAAGACGAGTAACTGATAGCAAAAGTCATCACTACTTAAAAAGCATAGTCGTTAAAATTGTGACGAAGGCGATTTTAGCAACGATAATGTTGTACTTGATCTCGCTTAAATAAATATTATAGATTAAAATGAGTTAGATTTACAATAATTATCCCAACAATTTTAAAATTCTTGTTATTTGTTTTCAAAAAAGATAATGGAATAATTCATAATCTCTTTCAACACATACAATAATTGCTTTAATTACTTTGTAATAAAGGAAATTACTTATCAACTACTTCCTTTAAATTTGACTGAATTACATGTTTATAAAAATTAGCTCTAATCTAAACCTACAGACAAACACGAAAATTACCAGTAATTACCATGAAGTTTTTTTCTCATTTCCACTACGTCTAATTTATCATATAAATTTAACTCTGAAAATTCTACCCTATTTAGTTAACGGCTTGTGGTACTGTAGAAATGAAGGTAATTCTAATTTTTTTTCTTTGTGTTCTACCATATATTTTCTGTGTATTTACAGAAAACCTGTTATTATTTAACGGTTTTAAGTTTGAAGATTCAGTAGAAAGTATAAATTATTCTCGCGATTTGGAATTCAGTATTCTTTATTGTCCGATGGTTTACGTCCTTAAAATAAGCTTCAATTATAGCCATTAAAAATGGTTGTGTAAACCGGTGTACTCTAGCTATAGAAACCTATTTTGATTTTAAAATATTCAGCACAATCGGTTCATAAAAATATTAATAAATAAAACAACTGTTTGGGTATCAGTATACAGTTTAGTATGAATCAAAAAAGTATATTTACAGAATAACCGAATTATCATCAAATAAATCCGACTGACATCTAGCGATTAACTATTTATTCACAGAATTTTAAAATTTGTGGTCCTTAGGAGCAATAGTAACAACCTGTATTGATTTATAACTAGTGAACTATTTCTGGTTAGCGATTTTTTTAGCGAGTTAGATTTCTACGGGATCGGGTCACTAACCCCATGCCCAACCCTCCTCCTTTACCCGGGCTTGGGACCGGCAGTAACTTTAGAAGAGCTACAGGAGGAGTTAGTGAACCATAATGGCCTTAATATCATGGATGCTTCTCATTTATTCTAAACCACGATATTATAACAACATTTGACATCCGTAAAGTCAGGAATCTGTTAACATTCACCAATCTATTTAAATGCTTCCTCGTGTTTATCAGTTACAATCCGAAAAAATTTATTAAAATATACATAGATTGGCAATTCAAACTAATAGATGCTCTTTCAACTTCATACCTCGATATTCAAATACAAAAAATAACTTATCATCAGTCTGTTTGGCTCCATGAAATGGTCTTTTATGTAAAAAAGTAGTTTATTTCTGAATAGCTTTTATTAGATAATATCATAATTACTGATCAAGCCAACGTAACCTTCACCTATGTAAATGGGAATGATGACTGAAATTGGAAAAATGCACTTATGAGTTGATGAAAACCAGAAGTTGTAGATTTGATCTTATACCAATCAGATGACGAAATCTGGTTGCTATATGAGTTCCACTTCAGTCCCCAAATTATATCTGTAACCCATTTATGGTGGGGTTTTTTTTTACCTTGGTTAGTGGTAGACTGACATCACACTTCATTTAACTTGTTCTAAGAAATGTAATCTGTTTACTGAATGTTACTCAGCTACCATAAATTACATTATATTGCATGAACCAGAACACGGTCACTAAGATACATTTATTTAATGAAAGATGATAAATAGTTTCTACTTATTACAATTGCATTTTGGTCTGTAAACTCGAAGTTTCGGTACATTATCACTTTATATCTACTAGAGCTTGAGACATAGATTGCTTTGTCACATCGTGAAAGGCAAATAGACATCTTAAATATAATGAAAGATTGGTCCAGAATGACTAACTGAAACGTTGTTTATCCGAGTAGTCTCTGTAATATTTTACTAACGAAAATACGTAATCTACTTTACAATTCTCAGAACCAGTTGAAGAGTAATTCTATGAAATAACGGGATATAGTCAGTTTGGAATGTTAACTTAAAAAGCTCTTAACAACTATTCTTTAAATCCTTAAGATAATAACTTCGGAATGGTATTAAACATGTATAGAACTTAAGTTAAATAAAAATCGACGGTAAATACTTTTGTATATGATAACTTTAAGTTAGGTTTTTATACGAAAGCTTTCTCATTAGTCTGTAGAAAAAATAATTATATTTTACAAAGGTTGCAGTACAATGGCTGCAGGTATGTAGCATAAGCAGCTTGAGTACTCCTACATGAACGAACTTTGTTAGCTATTTCTGTTATAATTCCAATCATAATGTAAATACTTTGAGATAATCCATTTGCATTCAGTTCTTTAATCATATATTAAACAAAATATTTATAAGATTCATTCATTTACAGGTTCAGGTGATTTTTATTTTAGCCTTATCTCTCAATATGGTGATGAATAAAGTTATTTTGGTTGGAGGCGACTGTAAACTCGACTGTTTAAAACGTTATCTTATGTGTGATGATCGATGCAAACGAATGCCTTTCCGTGAAGAGACATGCTACTTAGAATGCAAGAACACATTATCGGAATGTCTGGATAAACCATGTGCGAAATTTGCTGAGGACTATTATGAACGATACAGTTAATTAGCTGTCATTATTTCTTCTAGGAAGAATATATATTCGTTCACTTTTGTATATTTACGCTAACTCAGTGGTAAAAAGATCCGCTTCACTATATACAGCTAAATATTTTACCTTATCAAATACATAGTCGAAGAATAATTGAAATATTTGATGTATTTTTTTACTTTGCTTATTGAAAAGAAATAAGTATTTTTGCTTTGGACGGTAAGAGTGAATAATATAAAATCATTTACATTGATTTCATCGAATCTCTGGTAACAGGTATAAACGGTCTAGGAAAGGAATCAGTAAATAACTACTCAATTTGATTGAAAATTACCCAGTTATTGTGCACCAATGCTCAGAACAAGGAATAAGCATAGAAAATATTAATAGTTCAAATCAAAGCTTTGAAAAAACTGGCTTTCATTTTAATACCATATCAAAAATACAAGAAATGTAGAATTTCCTGCTTGGCAACAGTATGCGTTTCCTGTGATAAACATAAACCACCGAAAGAAAAAGTATAAACTACGCGTAAACGCCAATTATTTTCGAATTTTCCCCCACATTGGAACCCTGATGATAAGCGACTGATATTACTTCAGTGATAATGTTAAAGATAAATTCAAACTTTCTTGGCTAATTATTGCATTCCCAACATTTTGGACGATTACGAATCAAACGATCGGTGATTTTAAACGTATAGGGTCTGTTCAAGCTCATATTACAGTCTACGCAGTAAGTGTTCAGTTGAATAAAAATCATCGGCGAGACTCTAATTTATGGACGAGCCAATCAGAAAAGTTTTAGAGAATTCAAGGTTACGGCACCAACTTCAGTGCTTAATACTAACGTACGATCGGCTCACAAGGAATTTTGTACAAAACGTGATAATTGAGCGGCTATAACAAATAAAACGGCGAGACTATAATTTGTGGACAAATCAATCAGGTATAAGATAACAGATCTTGGATTTTAACGCGAAAGCCTTTCATCTATTTGGCTAAATAGACTTCTGGCATTATAGTTGATGTCAGTTCATGATGAAAACCCCATATATAATTCCTAACTAAGGCAAATTATGACAATCATCGCGAACTGGATAATAAAAGCACCAGTAAAACTGGCTGCAGCCAGATACTACAATATATACGGATGTTTGGAGAGCGTACAGACTCCTACATAGGCTTGCTTATATGCATTGTGTCGTTATCCACAAGTAGCATTTTGTGTACTCAACAACCGGGATGCACATAAACAATATCGAAATTATGTGGTCAGGTCTGAAAGTTTTTGAGACCTTATCATGGCCCCAGAGGCCGACTATTCTGCAGCCTTATGGATGATTTCCCCTACTGCATGCATTACGATTTTAGAACCTCTGGACCTCTTTCTAACCTTGACAAGTTTTTGAAGCACATATTAGAAGTGTGTCCACTTTATTTCCTTGATTTTGTATAATATATTTTTACTCTATGCTGACAGTTTGTTGATTGGCTGGTATTTCTCAAGGTCACTCAAGATTCGTCCAAAGGCCGTCCATAAATTAGTCTGTCGAAATCATCTTTTATGATCATTCAAATGATTTTGTAATGATAAAAACTTACAGCAAGTCTCGTTAGTCATATGCTCGGAAATTGAATGGAATATTCTCGAAAGAAACAGTCATGATTGCGATCCGCTGGTTAGATAATTATGTCTTTTCACACTAACATTAGCATTAATTATATAGTCAACACTAGGTTGATCGATGACTAACACTAGGTATCGACCTCCTTAGTTTTAAACTAATAGTCTAGCCTATACTAAGAGTTTCAGTTTGTGCGTAATATGACTGTTGTGCGGCAACGCTCCTGGGGTATCGTCCATTAACGGGGGTTGCCAGCACTTGAAGGTCAAACTGTCGCAAAATGATTGGTGCGTCACATCGACAATTCGTGTAAACTTTCAGAAGCGGTCAAATCAAGACATTTTTAGATTTGAATTGAATTCAGCCACACCATGTCTGGTAACGTTCATTCTTCAGGTAACGAAGACGATGCCATCGTGATGATGCATGATATAAGACGAATCTTCAATGATATGTTATCTCGAAGATTTACAAGTTGGGACAATTTTGAGACCTGTTTGAAAGAAGTACATAAGGGTAATATGACTTCTGTGGTTAATAATTATTTTCTTAGTATACGCATACTAAGTACGTTATGTCAGTATGCAAAAAGAACAGTGATGATCCAACTCTAAAGTGCTTTCTCGTGAGATATGTCTGTACATATGGACGTAAACGCTGTTCGTCAGTCAGATGCTTGCGTTCAGGATGTAGATGATGACAGTAATAATCATTCTTCTGAAGAGCATACAACTTCTAACTCACCAACACAACCTAGGCAAAGGAGACGACGTCGGCCATCTACGTATGCCTTACTTCAAATGAATTTATCCTTCAGGTCGAAATATTGCCATTGTCAATCAGGATTTTGGGTCCGGGCAGTAAATGGTGAGTGCGATGTCGTAACGTTCAAACACCACATCTAGGTCACATTAACCATTCTGTTATAATTGAATCATCATCGTAAGCAAATATATACTTTCATCACCATAGAAACTCTGATTTCTTTCTTGTTTAAAAGAGATTAAATCATAGATAGTAAATTGTTGAAATGCTATAATTTGAAGACTTTATAACCATCTTGGTAACAATTCATTTAATTTTCCTAGCAAAATATTACGTCATAGGAACAAAGTTCAAATGGTTCAAATGCTTGTGGACGGAATGGAGGAAGCTTTACATAACAGGCTTCCGTGTCTAGTAGCAGTGGATCATCAATAACTCCAGACAGGAACCTAAGTATATTAACGATAATAGAAGAAAAAAGAAATTGGTAAATCATAATAAAATTTTACCCTTATTCCTTAAGAATAGGTCAAGTTTCCTCTTGAAGGACTCTTGCGAAGTCGCTTGGACTAGCTCGGCCGGCAGCGAATTCCAGCTTCTGACAACTCTTAAGGAGAAGAAGCTGTGTCTACAGTCCGTTCTGCTATGTTGTATCTCAAATTTCTGGGTGTTAAATCTTTGGTTTGTATTAGGACTAAGCTTAAGTAGGTGTGTAAGGGGATGTCCAGAAAAGGTAAGGATTTTGTATGCCATTAGATCATCACCTATAAGACGCCTATACTTTAATGGGTAAAGGTTAAGTGATTGGAGGCACTCTTCGTACAGTTTGAGTCCTCAAACTAATTTTGTGGCTCGCCGTTGGATGCGCTCCAGAGTGTCCTTATCGTTTTGGAGTGAGGGAGGAAATACTATGTTTCCGTACGCTAAATGTAGACGGACAAAACTGTTGAAGATTATGTGGAAAGTTCTTCAGTCAAACTGGCCAGAAATGAGCTTCAATGTTACTAGTGCGGGGTTCCCTCGAAAGGCATTTTTGTCACAGTTAACGTGAAACTTCAAATCGTAGGTACCAGAACTCCTAAATCTTTTTCAGTTTGGGACACTTCTAGAGAGGAGCTTATTAAGTTCTAATTGTAGTCTGCAACATGTCTCATACGGTCTACTTTACGTTCTGAAGTACTAAAGGTAAGTTCTTTATCGTCTGTCTAACTTTGAAGTCGAATCGGATCCCCCTGAATTGCTAGTATGTCCTCCTGGTTGCATACTTCGCTCCAAAGTTTCACATCATCAACAAACATTAACACGTCTGACGATACCTGTTGTGGAAGTTCGTTTATTTAAATCAAGAAGAGAAGAAATGCTAGTACTGAGCCCTGGGGAATCCCACTAGGAAAATCCATACCCTGAGAGAAAGTGAAGTTAACCCTGACCTTAGTGTAGGTTAGAGGTGGTCTGATACCTAATCGTTTGAGCTTATTGATAAGACATATATGGTTGACCTTATCAAAAGCTTTTGAGAAATCAGGGTAAACGACATCATCCTTCTCCTTGTGATCAAGCATGCTTGTCCATCTGTCCACCGCAGTCAGCAGGTTGGTTATGCAAAAATGATTTTTTCTGAAACCATAACTATCATAAGATTCTGAAGAATGAACGTTCAGTTAAATAATTCAGAATATGGAGTTATTGAAAACAAATCAGACATTTCAAACATAGAAAGACAAAAAGGAGAAAATTCGTAGCATTTCCCCATGGCAGGCGAACGAGGAAACTTTTGGTGCTCTTCCCTATTATTTTTCCCTTATGTTCTAACAAAGTTTTTTTACCTCCTCCTTGCTTTATTTCCCCTTCATTGGTTGCTCAGGATTTCTCTGAATACCTCTGTACTCCCGACACAAACTCTTCTTATAATAAAAGCCCTTATATCAACTAACTGGAGACCATTAGCGAGAAACATCAAAATATATGAATGGTTTTGTCTGTTTTACAAACAATGTGATGCCTACAGCATGAACTACCAAATTTAATCCAACAACACTTATTTACGCACAAACATCTTATTTCGCTTCTACAGGAAACGTCTTGTTAGAATGTGCTAAAGCAAGTCGGTAAACGAGTTAGCCTGAAGAAATAACGTAACATTTATAACGATTTGGTCTTGTTCGCTAATCAGCATGCCTCACTTAACTTATGGTTACTGAGAAAAAATTATTACTATCACAACAGTATGAGATTAAGGGTCTTTTGAACTTTCCAGCGTTTTCAGTATAGCTTAAACCCGTTCGAATTGCTTCATAGTCGAACACTGTTTTCGAATGGACTTGTAAAGCATTTCAGGTCCTCGGTGTCGCTTACTTACCATTTATACTCCAATCCTAAATCATGACGCTAACTCTGAATCCCAACACCAAAGTGTCCAATGATTCTGTAGTTATTAACGTGGGCGAAAACGCTTTCTAAGGTCAAAATATTCACATCACGGTCGGTGGATCCGACCTTCCATACATAACGCTCGGCCTTTTTTCAGACTTGCATCTAGCTTGAGAGTACTTTGTGTGCAGGGGACTAAGGGGAGTAGTATGTGAAAGAACCAGGACGCAAAAATAACAGGAGAATAAGTGGGTCGTCGACTCAATTGGCATGCAGAATGCACCTACACTTACGAATGGAAGACGTCGACAACAACCAGGAATAACACAAGCGTGAGACTAAGAGAATCTGGTAACGGAATAAGGAATTCGATGGCATAAATTTTCAAATGCATTACATATGCTGTTTTGATATATGTTTTCTTAGCTGAATAGGGTTTATGATTACAAGCTGATGAGCCTGGAAAAAGAGGAGAATAAATGCATGAAGAATCACACATATTTTTATTACATTTTCTAAGCTTAAAATATCGTATGTGATTCGATTACCAGTCTTAACTCTTCATGATGAATGGAAAAACAAGGTGGAACTGTTTTAGAAGTAGTTGGAGTGAACTCGTGTCATACCCATGATTTTGAAACGGTTGGGAGAATTCGAATTATTATGCGAACTTGGAATCTCCGAAATAACTTCACTTAAGTCAAGTAGAACTAGCTATGCACAAACAAACGTATTGTATTTGGAATGCAAAATCAAGCACACACTGAATACAAAAGAATTATCAGTTCATACAAACAGCACAGGTTCACATCTTCAAACGACTATGATTATATATGAGAAAAAGCACAGAACCACTAGCAACATAAAAGAGACATTTACAGTACACGACCTTACTCAGTTTTACATTTGCTCGGAACAGAGTAGATTCATATGGGTCGAAACTAAAAGTACTTGACATATATTAACCTTGCGTGCTAGAACTTTCTACAGAGTGATGGCTTAACATTAAGATGGGTAGGATGTACCTAGATAGATAGTGCATTGGCGATGCATTGAATAGTTTGTCAGAATTGCAGACTGTAACCTCAGCTAATAGCAAGAGGATACATGAAAAGAACAGTGTGAAAGCATCAAACTTCACGAGGAGCATTTGAAACTCACATGACGGGTTATCATAAACCCGAAGAATATTACGAGGTAATTGCTATATTCGTAGACATTTAGCGAGTAAACACCATGAAATATCTTTGATTTGTATCAAAAAACTGAACTATGGACTTCAAATTATTGGCGACCTACCTATATAGTAACTTGAAGACTAGATATAAGCAATTTTAGAATCTATCTTCTATGTTCCTGTGATCATGTGTCAGAGAATCGTTATATTTGCATCTTTTCCTATTGCTACTCCCTTGTCTTCCCATATATTTGTAGGGCTAATGAATTATCATAAGCCTTAACCAAATAACCTATTAGGCCAAACTATACATGGGTTAGAAGAACGATCACTGATCGTTTGATGGTCTATAGAACGTCGTCATCCTCAATGATCACTAACGCAGGTTAACCGAATTCGTGCCGTGAAATGGCCTGTGTGGCGATGGCCATAGCCTGTTTTTCCAAACAATTCTTACCGATACATATTTTAACTACATCATGTCTGCTCCGTACAGTCATTAACATAGCTACCGTAACTGAGTACCATGAAATATCAACCTACGTCAGGTATTCACTGAGAAGCGCAACTTCAATATAAGCCAGGAGGTAACATCATCACTGTCCAGAGCCGGTGGGCCACGACTTTACACATAGATCGCTTGGATTAGAAATCTAGATATGGACTGTTTACTCCATCAATGATTGTATTTAAGCATATGTTGTTTCTCTTTTGGTTTGTTTTCAGTCATTATACTGTTTACAATTGATGAATCGCGGTCATCTCCTTGATGTCGCTGGTGTTATTGATCATCATTTAACTTTAATTTTACCTGGTGCTTTGATTTCTGATGGCTGTCATAGTGAGTGATCCCGTTTGAATCGAATAACTGTGTCTATCATCATCAAAATACTCACTTATTTTCCTGGTTGTTTGAAAGTTTTATTATTTTGCACAGTTATCTGTTCACTTCGAAGCTATTTGATTCGTGATTTACTTGCCAACTTACACCTAGCAACCCTCTTTATGCATAGGCAGTCGACTACGAAACTCCATCCAACTATGTCCTGGGCTCCCACTTAAAGTTGTTTCTACGTGCTTTCATTCATTTAATATCTGCCTACGGTTTCCGATGGAATGTGCAGTTTAGTCTTCCTCTTTCCCCTTTTCCCTTCAGGATTACAAGTTTGAGCATACCCCATGATTTCCTGAATAAATGTCTTATCCACCTCTACAGTCTTTTCCTAATTTTCTCATCGTCTGTAAGCTGATTTTTCACTTTCACAGTAGATTGATACTAATGGTATTCGGTCAACGTATATGCGGCATCTTGCATTGAAATTAACTAAATATAGTATTTCGGGATCTTTTTAATCATCCTTTGATCTTACAATTTTGTTGCAGTAATAGAAGCTGTATCTGTCGGAAAAAGCATTATTACCGTAAATTCGACTTGACTTTTACTTGTATTCATCCATTCAGCACCACTCGTCCACACTGTTTTGTACTTCCCTAATTACTACACAGGACTTATTATATATAGTCAGTTTCTTAGCATACTTAAACATTTTCCTTGACAAGTCTATTGATGTTACCAAGACTTCTTGAAATCGCCTTAATATGCCATGATGAAAGTTGTGAACTTCGATAAAATTTTAAAAGTTTGCTTTGGCCAGTAAACAATGGTGACGGCTGTTTCATGAGTATATTTTGTTGACAATGCTACATATTTCGGTAACTGCAGGCCAACTGAATTCAGAATATCAATTCTGATGAAATTAAATAATTCTGCTTTCACAGATGTTGTGAGTGACTTACCGATTATGCAACAATTTTCAAAAAAAATACGGTGACTTTATATCATTGAGCACTCCAATTTGTCTGATCTCACCTAGAAGACACAACCGCGATTCATTTGTTTAATTCAATAACATTACATTTAAAATAGAGATTAAACTGAGATTGCTGAAAAGTCTCCCTGGATTGGAGTGTGTTCGTCGATTTATTAATTCCTGGACTTATTTTAACTTGTTCGACGGAGAACTGCAATCGTCCTACCACAATGAAATCACAACTGAGCCTCAAAAGTCAACTTGCAAAAGCCAACACGCATGGCTTTGGATGTACGTGTGAGTTTGTTTATATGTTTTGTGCAAACACACTCTTTGGTCTTACCCGTTACCAACTGCGTATTCCCTACAGAAAGTAGGTGACTTATTATTGGGTATCATATAGAAAACGTGACTAAAAGATATACACTTTACACTATTCAACATTTATCCAAGTAATTACTTGGGATTGACCGCGATAGCCGTATGGAAAAGTAAAATGTAAAACTGCTTTCCTTTTGTTATCGTGCATCAAAAGTTCTTACTGATTTGGTGAGCAGATCGTAACCTGAGGGATCGTTAGTCGCCTGCATTTGCATACGTCCATCGATGCAACTGTTTCAGTCATAATTCGAGTTCTTCCTGTTATTGTCAGATGGACAACTACCAGTATGCCCAAGGCTTCGTCAATAGCCAATTAATTACTAAGAGTTATTAGATTTCATCCTAGACATTTTTTAATACAGTGGACCAAATAAATCACCGGACGAGAAAGTCATAAATAGGCATAAAAAAGGAACTGCATGTTAATATTAGTGTATTTCCGATGTAGCAGGTACATACCATTATTACATTGTAGCGGTAAATAAATCCCCAAAATAAATAGCTCTGTAAGTTTTCGACATTGGATGCTGACCATATGTTTTAGTGGACTCATCTAGCTGAAGGCGCTCGGTCATGCATCCGCACCAGATCACGTGTGGTAACGCCGTGCTCAACATCAACAGCAATCGCTAGCCAGATTAGATCAGAGAATTCCGATATATTGGTCATCGCCAAATATACTCTTCCGATCTCCTCGACTCTGTCTTTTGATTTCTCTGGGTGGGAACGAAATACATTAGAAGGTGTTACTGGTAGAAGCGTTGTCAAACACTGAATATCTGTGACATCATCATTGGTGAGACCGACGTGATCTGGTACACCTAATTGCAACTGTGAGTCTGTTCCTTTTTGGGATTTTTATATATCATTGCCTTATTTTTTATTTTTTTTTAAACATTGTGATTTTTTTCGTGCTTTTTCTTGGATATATATATTTTCCCCTCGTTCATTATCATACTTTATATTTCATCATGACTGAACAGACACCTAAAGTACTCAAGCTTAAGACTTTGTCCCCACCTTCGTTTCAACTGACGCCTTTCTGGCCCGACAACATCGAAGCCTGGTTTTGCTACGCAGAAGCCGACTTCCACGAGCACGGCGTGATCGACACACGTGCACAATTCCTCGCAGTAGTCAAGGCACTACCGCGCGAACTTAACAGGTACGTGACACCTAGTATGTTTACTAGTGATGTTTCCAAACCTTACGAAATATTAAAACGCTCGATTCTCAAACGAGGAGACCTAACCGATCGGCAAAGGTTAAATCAACTCTTCAACAATATCGACCTGCAACACGGTTCTGCGACAGACACGTTGCAACGGATGAGAGAGATTATAGGCCCAAGAACTTTCGACGAACGCCTATTTAAACAACTCTTCTTGTCAAAACTTCCCCAACAGGTGCAAGCAGTTTTGGTCTCGTTCCAGAACAACGCCCTAGACGAGCTAGCTGCATCTGCCGACCGCATTCTAGAAATTACGAAACCTACTACCGAGGTATTTTCAGTCAAAGAAAAGCCTCAAACGACTCAGAATGACATAGCCGAGTTATGTCATGCACTTACGCATTACTTTAACTTTCGTAACGACCGTAAGCGATCACACACCCCACATGGAAGCACTTCACGTAAGCGATCTGTCTCTAGACCACGAGAGATGGATAACCCCGACTGGTGCTGGTATCATAACCAGTATGGAAAGCCTTCCAGAAATTGGAGAAAACTCTGCAATTTTACCAACACGAAACCGACTGATTCGAAAACTTCCAAACCGGCACGCGTTAACGGCAACCGTAGCCGGCGAACATAGCAGTCTGTTATACGTCACAGATGTGACAACGAGAGTTCGCTACCTCGTCGATACTGGCGCAGAAGTTAGCGTTCTCCCAGCGAATCCCAACGATCGGCTTCAAAAATCGGCTCTAAATTTACAGGCGGCAAACGGAAAACCGATCGCTACGTATGGCAAAAGGTACGTTTACCTTAACGTGGGTTTACGCAAACCCATCCACTGGATTTTCGTTGTTGCAGATGTTTCTATGCCAATCATTGGTATGGACCTTCTACAACATCACAATCTGATCATCGACACTCGCAAACGGAGGCTAATAGACGGAAACACCAATTTGTCCGTTTGCGTAACTTCTTTTACTGGTTGCAGAGTATCCCCAGTCACAGTTAAACATATGATAGACCCACTCTATCAACCACTACTCGATAAGTACCCTGTGATACAACAAACTCAACCGAATCTACCGTGTGTAACCAGCAATGTTACACATCACATCACGACTACAGGACCACCTGTATTTTCTAAAGCACGACGACTAGCTCCCAAAAAGCTAAAGTTAGCGAAAAACGAATTCGACCATATGATAGACTTAGGAATCATACGACCGTCAAGTAGCCCATATGCATCTCCGTTGCACATGGTCCCTGAAAAGGACAGCAACAATTGGAGTCCAGCTGGTGACTAGCGGCGATTGAATGCGAAAACCATTCCCGATCGTTACCCGTTGCCTCACATTCACGATTTGACAAATACCTTGAAAGGTACAACTGTCTTTTCGAAAATCGACTTGGTTAAAGCGTATAACCAAATCCCTATGGCTACTGACGACATACCGAAAACAGCTATCATAACTCCCTTCGGACTCTATGAATTTTTGCGAATGCCTTTCGGTCTAAGGAACGCTGCTCAAACATTCCAAAGATTCATAGACGACATCTTTCGAGGTCTCAACTTCGTACACGCGTATGTTGACGACTGCCTAATCGCAAGTCCGGAATGAGAAACACATCTCAAGCATCTGGATCTTGTTTTCGAACGACTTCAAAAACATGGCATTACTGTAAACATCCAGAAATGACAAATCGGTACCCACTCATTAGACTTACTAGGACACACTATCGATGCTCAAGGCATTCGACCCCTTAGAACCAAAGTGGCGGCCATTCTGGATTACCCTGAACCGACAACCGTCAAGCAACTACGTACGTTTAACAGCCTCGTAAGTTTCTATAAACGTTTCATACCGAAATGCGCATTACTTATGAAACCTCTAACCAACCGACTTCGTGGAAATGCGAAATCCATTAATTTGGACGACACCGCACGAGTAGCATTCTCCACAGTTAAGGAACTGATTGCTAAAGCAACAATGCTCGCACATCAGGACACCCGAGCACCCATTAGCATCGCAGTAGACGCATCCGACTCGGCAATCGGAGGAGTCTTACAACAATGGGTTAACAACTCCTGGCAACCCTTGGCATTTTTCTCTAGAAGGTTGCTAGACACCGAATCGAGGTACAGCACATTCGGTAGGGAACTCCTAGCTATGTATTGTGCTGTACGGTATTTCCAACACTACATCGAAGGTCGTGAATTCACTCTTTTCACGGACCATAAACCGCTCACTTTCTCGTTAAGCTCTCCTGACAAGTACTCTCCCCGTGAGTCTCGACAACTGGACTACATTTCGCAGTTTACTTCAGACATTCAACACATCTCTGGAGCAAACAATGTAGTTGCAGACGCTTTATCTCGTATAACTTCCTTGAACAGTTTCCAAGGAATCGACCTTCTTAAACTCGCCGAGCTTCAAAAGGAAGACAGTGATTTTCAGCACGAGTTATCGTCCACAACACTTAAACTACGCATCAAACAGATGGGAACAGGTAAGGAAACCTTACTTTGTGACACATCTACAGGTAGGGATCGCCCAATCGTGCCGAAACATTATCGACGCAATGTCTTCAACACATTGCACAAACTTTCGCATCCAGGTGTTCGTGCAACCATCAAGCTTATAGCAGAAAGGTTTTGCTGGCCTGGAATGAATAAAGACGTGAGGGAGTGGGCACGCTCCTGTGTAAGCTGCCAAAATTCTAAGGTTATCAGACACAATAAATCCCCCTTAGGCTCGTTTAAAACTCCCGATGCTCGTTTCGACCATGTTCATCTGGATTTGGTAGGACCTTTACCAAATTCGAATGGACCGTTTCACTCGATGGCCAGAAGCAGCACCTATCAAGGACATCACTGCTGAAACAGTGGCCCGCACCTTCGTCGAACGATGGCTGCCCTTCAAGCATCACCACAGACCGCGGACGTCAGTTTGAATCTGAACTTTTCCGTCGTCTGACCACACTTTTAGGAATCACTCGCTTCCGAACGACCGCCTACCATCCACAAGCAAACGGGTTGGTAGAACGTTTTCACCGACAACTAAAAGATTCTCTATCAGCTGCAAACGTTTCACAGTGGGCTGACGCTCTTCCACTTGTCTTACTAGGTATCCGCAATGCAGTGAAAGCTGACATTGGATACACTGCGGCTCAACTCGTTTATGGAACGACACTTCGACTTCCAGGAGAATTCGTGGATCCTTCATCCTCGTCGATGAACATGGATCTAACCTCCTACACGAACAGGCTTACAAACGCAATGCGTTCAGTTAAACCTGCTTCCACTCGACCTCAATCAACTGATGTTTTCGTTCAACCTGACTTACGATATAGTACACACGTTTTCGTTCGTCGAGACTCGCATCGACGACCATTCGAATCAGCATACGAAGGACCCTTCAAAGTTCTTCAACGTGAATCTAAGTACTATATAGTCGATAAGAACGGAACCAACGATAGCATCAGCATCGATCGCTTAAAAGCAGCGTATTTAGAAGGAAATCCTATCTACGTAGATTTTCCTTCAATACAATCGAACGACACGACTCCGACACTTATAATACCTCATCCGACAACCAACACACACGATGATACTACGACAGTATCCGAAAATAAACTTAAAACGACGCGTTCTGGAAGAAGGGTGAGATTTTCAGAACATTTAAACGACTATTGCACGTAAGGCACTTCTCGACATTTTATATTATTTTTAAAAAACAAAAAACAATTTTAATATGCTTATATATTTTAATTTCTATTTTAACAAAAACAAAACAAAAAAACAATTTTTTTAACGCTATTACGTGTTCATGAGTTTTTTTTTTCCTTTTTTTTCCGCCGACATTGTGTTTTTACGCACATACGAGTGTATTTCGACATGCACTTACATTTTCTTTTTTTTTCCAGGACGGCTGAAAAAAAACGACGTTTATGAGGATCCGAAATTTTCATTGTACATTTTATTTTTTTTACTATGTTGTACCTCGGTCCCATATAGTAAGGAAAGACGACCAGACGCTGCTACACTTAGTAAGCTATCAGAAGAGTGTTTACCAACGACAAAGTCATTGGGTTTAAACTTCTGGCTGGCCACGTCTTAGGGTCGTCACTGCCCCACTAAGGGGGGAGTGATCTGTAGCGGTAAATAAATCCCCAAAATAAATAGCTCTGTAAGTTTTCGACATTGGATGCTGACCATATGTTTTAGTGGACTCATCTAGCTGAAGGCGCTCGGTCATGCATCCGCACCAGATCACGTGTGGTAACGCCGTGCTCAACATCAACAGCAATCGCTAGCCAGATTAGATCAGAGAATTCCGATATATTGGTCATCGCCAAATATACTCTTCCGATCTCCTCGACTCTGTCTTTTGATTTCTCTGGGTGGGAACGAAATACATTAGAAGGTGTTACTGGTAGAAGCGTTGTCAAACACTGAATACCTGTGACATCATCAACATTATCGATTAATAACTTACAACACAGATTTTCAGATGCGATACTACACAACCAGGGCTATTAAATAAATAAAATCAATGAAAGTAGGTGGCAAAATAGTCGTTCAGCATTATTTTATGCTGGATTAGCTGTTCTACTAAGACAACACATAATATGCTAACTGGAACTTTAACACTAGGATTGTGTGGCTGTCATCTGATTAACAAAAAAGAAAGAAAAACGACAGTAAAAGATATAGTTGTTAATATTCTTAACACTTCGCCCTCTATATGCATACTCCCTTCTAATAAAGCGCTTTCCTTGTACCAGCCTTGACTTCCCTTCCTTCAAGTGAGCTTACTCCAACTTTTTAAACATCACAACTCATTGTTCTTTATCGCTACATTCTCTTATATGAAGCCTCTGAAGTAATTTCACTCTAACAAGAGACAATATGAATTGAGTCTAATTTATTGTACCTCTGTCTGTTCTACTACACAATGTTGAGCAACGTTTGGTCTTCATATCCAGTGCCACGCTGCTCTTCTGTTTATCTTTTTTCTTCCTTCAGGATCTTGCTCTGAGTGCATAGCAACGGAACTTCTGAAGATTGGAACTCACTTGACGCACGCGTATCCCCTCAGTCATAGTTTACACCAAGTGCTCTACGAGTCTACTTTATAACATCTGTAAACTTAATAGGTTGAGAAGCATGCTATGAGCCAACATATGTTGTAAATTGTAGATCGAGCCTGTAGAAATGGCTAGTACATGCTCATGCGGAAATATGTTACTATTATTATTATTATTATCAGAGAATGATTAATTTAGTTTGTGCTATACTATGAGTTCACAGTGATTATATCTGTTAGAAAATGGCCCAGAGCTCAGGTTGTGCACGTGCCAAATTATCTGAGATTGGAATTTTTGCGAGAGAATCGCAGTGATGAGTTAACATGAAATTCTATTCTTTGCTCATTTTATGGTAGATAGAAGGCTTTCATTAAATTTATAATTGAGAAAGATGCAACCAATCAGTGGTGCCAAGATTATTCTCCTACGCTCGTTACTGAGATTCATTTTCATAGATTTATTCTGGATTAGCCATTCTACTGACATAATAGATAAGAAAATATTCAAACCTCTTATATTATTACATAGTAAAATAAGACATATAAATCAGGATTCCTGCAGAACGATAAACGATGAAAGATATGTAGTGACGAAAAGTGGATAGCATAGCTGTCAAACGAATAAACGATTGTTTTTAAATAAATTCACTACAACTGGCTATAGCCAATAATAAATACTGACGTTTTTAAACCCTAAAATCATGTTCAAATAAAACTGCTAAATACATTTTTCATATTTGATAGAAATGAATCTGGAACAGTCAGTTGGGCCTACCGTTGATAATTTATTCAATTCTCCTGTATCTGAACCTGGTCCTACAAAAATACCTTCTGTAATTGGAACTAGAAAACCGAATACTACACGGGTAATTTCACCAGAATACATGAATATGAATAACTTGTCTTATTGTAAATGCAGGCTAGTAAAAATTGTATTTTAAAACAAAAGTATGCGATATCAATCAGTTTATTTACCTGAATCTCCCGGTTGCTGATTGAATGAAATTAAAAATCGGTCTGTAACAAAAATAAATCTGCCATATATTACTTCTATATTCAGTCCTCTTGTTCTCACGAGTTTTACTAGCAGCTTATTGTCATCCACTTTGTTTAATCAAGTAACATTAACTTTTTTATTGTACGCCTTGATTACCAAGGTGTTTGGTGTACAACTCAATAAATGGATAGGAATAAAGATAAATTGTATTGAATTCTACTAATAGCCAAAACTAAATAGTGTATTATCAAGAATCCAGTCTCACTATTTGCCTACCAAATTTTCTTTCTCCACAGTTCACAAGAGCTTGAATTTCTATAGCATTTATTTATCCTCTCATGTCCTCAATATAACAAACATTTATGCATCAATTTTTAAATTTATAAGTTCCATCTCATTATACTGTTTGTATAACATTTTGCAGTCATGTCTATATTACTCCGAAACAGTAACGTTGATTCTTTAAAGCTGGTCCTTTGACATTTATCAGATTCATACTTGGGTATTATTTATTTAAAGTGCACTCAGAAGACAGTACTTAATTCTACAAACTTAGTTTATTCTAATAACTTGGATATATTATTAACTACTTGTTCCGTTGTCGGCTTGATTCAGGATGGTACTCGTCACAGATTGACCTCAATTAGGGTACCGCGAAACCATAAGATTTTGTATTTGACCCCGAGTGGGATCGTAAGTGAACACTGACGGGGTTCCACACTTCAACAAACGAACCCCCTGATTTCTAATAGTGCTTCAACTGAGGTTAATCTATAACGATTAATACCTTCAGACTAAACTGATTTCCACAAGACCCACTTAAAATAATGGATTTCCCAACACCCTCTTGCTTGAACTAGTCATATTTGGACTTTTGTAGGCTGGACCTTAGTCGTTTTACCCTACATCTTTCCCTATCGTTTCACTTCCGTTCTATCCATTCATTTTAATAATTCTTCGAGTTGCCTAGTTAAATCCTGGCCCATAACATTTGGTGCACCCTCCACAAATTTTAATCATTTCCCAGATATGGACTAGTGGTTGAATATGTTTACCAACTGCTAACCTTAATCCATCTGTTTCAAGCCAGTGAGTTTTCAAAAACCCAAGATGTGCATTTGATTAGCCTTCTATTCGTTGTAGTTCAAAGCTTTGCAGTTACAAGTAAAGTTAATATTTTATAGAAATCATTGCCATCAATCATCTACCAACCGTTCTTCATTTAAATAGGTTATTGAAGACCTATTATAAACATAAACTACACGGAATTTCCTACGTATCTCTGTTCTTTGTAAACATGTTGCTAGTCAAACATTTTCAACGAATAGCCTGTTAAAACTATTATCATCGTTATCCATTTTAGCTTTCATGGGGTCAGTTCTCGCTTTATTAACAGTTTCAGAATACAATGGATTCCATATGTAAGGTGTTTGTTAATTGTTGCGCTCAGAGAAATTGTGATCGATTTTAATTCTATGAAATTAGCAGTTCACCACCTCATAGTTAATAATCTGATTCATAGTCCTGTGTATCTTAAGAATGTACTAACTGGTTATCACGTGTTAACTATTTATGGTTATACAAAGATCAAGTAAAAGTAATACTTGAAAGCTCCAAAGTCCTGCTCTAGTCAGTTGATGTTTTGAAAAACTAAACAAACTGAGAAAACGTTGCGTGAGTGAATATGTAGTAATATATGCAACCACCGTCATAATAATGACTCGATAACTTATAGTCACGACACTTACTAAAGATGTCCATTCGATATGGGACGACATTCCGAATTATTTGGGATTGGTAATAGACGGCTGATTAAGGCAGTTAAATATAAATAGACGAAACAGCTAGATTGACCAATGTCCATACGTCCATACTAAATTAAGCGTGCTATTCCTTCTGGGGTGCTGTCTGCAGTCGCTCACAAGATTTCTGCATTATGTGTTCCATTCAACTGATTGTTCAACAGTGGTTCGCATTGCCGCAATTTGGTCGGCACATGATCTCCTCTTGCCAAAACCAGCTCGTTAATCTCGAAGTTCGGTGTCTTCTAAATCTTACATTCTGTTCAGCAGCAATCTGCCAAAACGGCCTGATACTGAGAGTAATGTGCATAATCCTTTTGTAATTCTCACACCTAATGCAGTGAACGACTATTTTATTGTTTAATGCGCAATCACACAATGGTTTAGCAGAATGTGAAAATCATACATCAAGTGCATTATTTGCGCATCTTCGAATTGTCTCTTACAAACTTCATTGTTCCTTATCTCTTCTCTTCATTTCGATCTTCTCAACCTTCGTCTTGCAGCCACTCCACTTCCTATTGTTGTTACGTACTACTTATACCTGCAAACATATGTAACATACACCACACTAAGATCCCCTTATTTTGGTATCTTGACGAGGAATACTTTTCAATTTTTTATTACTCGTTCTTCCCCACAAATCCTTTTCAAGAGAACGTAGAACATATTTACAGTTGCCCCTTCATCTAACATTAGTGCTTCAACTGGTATGCTGTTTGGTTCTACTACTCTGCCAATAATTGTTTGTCTGATGGCTTTGCTATTGTTAGCGGGGTATCATCCATAGGGAGATATGCGTATGTTTCTTCCAAGTTCAGTGATTTTGGCGGCGCGGGTCCGTTTATAGGATTTTCAATGTGCTCTACTCACCAGTCCCACTATTCTTGATCCTCGGTGATTGGTTTGTTTTTCTTTGTTCCTGACCGATCGCTCCGGTCCATATTTTCCTGCAAGCCTGTTGGTGGTATAACATAGTTCTCTTCTTTATTAACACCCTAAAAGCCCTATATGCAAACACCTCAGGCAGAGTGAGGGCATACAACCACCTCTCTCCATTGTTCCATTCGAGCAGTGGGGTTACACAGGGTTGCCCAACCTCACCATTACTCTTCAACTGTGCCACCGACGACATTCTGGAAACAGCTCTGATGAACGTAAGTAATGTTGGTGTGGATCTGTTGCCTGGAGAAAGACTTCTCGACCTTGAGTATGCGGATGATATTGTCTTACGGTGCGATAATGCCCAAGCCATGCAATCAGCACTTAATCAGTTGGCAATCAGTGTCCGTAAGTATGGTATGTGCTTTGCAGTGGGGTTACACAGGGTTGCCCAACCTCACCATTCCTCTTCAACTTCATCAAGTAGACGAATCGATGTTAGATATTGGAAACGCCGCGTTGTTTCAAGGGTGCGTCACATTAGTCCACGTATATTGTTTCGTGCTGTTGCGGGACGAAATGGTCTCTGTATCACCAACAAAACATGAAATAGTTACAATTTTAAATAAGCTGAAGTCTTTGCCGTGCAACAAGGTACTTTCTGTCATTGCTTCATGATATTTTGTACAGCAATGCTTTGACTGTGGTGCCACAAATCCAACATGGGCTAGTGTTACCTACGGTGTTTTTCTTTGTATTGACTGTTCGGCAGTCCACCGTTCACTTGGAGTTCATCTAAGTTTCATTCGATCGACTCAGCTAGATACTAACTGGACTTGGGTCCAGTTGCGCGCAATGCAAGTTGGTGGCAATCAAAATGCGGTAAACGTGAATCTCCTACTAATATTTTGTAGCTTACTTTCTTCTCCCAAAATAATTGTCGTTCCCTGGATGCTCAGGAAAAATACCAAAGTCGTGCTTCCCAACTGTACCGTGCTAAGCTGGAAAAACTTGCTATTGACGCTGTTAAAACCCATGGTAACAAGGTAACCAGTCACTACCCGTCTTAGTTTCTACAGTTGACTCTGGAACTTGATGAAGGAAAATTCAAACGTGATCAGGTGGCTGACTTTTTTGAGGAACATTCTGAAAGTGGTACGACTGACATTAGAAATGATAAACCTGTGATAGTAACAACAAGTGAGTTGTGTACGTGTTTGTAAATTGCATAACTGTACTGATAGGTGGCGAGAATATGGTTTATTTATCAATAGTGTTAGTACTTTGCTTTCTATCAGAAATGTATAGAGGCTCTCCTATCTTAATTAGCGACTGCCGGAAACTTTTTTGCGTGTCCGAAATCCGGCAGTGTCAGATAACATTTCAATCTGTTTTGTATTGAAAATGAGTTACTCAATAGAGTTTTTCATATAAAAAATATCGAAGGGATGCGGCAATGCGTTTTACCGTCAACATCACTTTGTAAGCATCAGTACATAAACATGGAAGATGAGAGTATTGAGTTAATTAGTTTGGGATTTCTTATATTTAAACGCATCTTCTATATCGTATGCTAAACATTAACCAGACTCGCTTCTCCATGCACATATCCCATCAATTACAAAAAGACTGATCCGCCTTCTGTTAACGCAATAAAGTCAGTAAAACCAAGTTATAAGTACTTCCACAATGTTTTTTTTCAAAACTAAGTAATTATCGTTCATCGAAATTCCTAAATTAGTTAAAAATAAAATCACATTAATTTGTAAAACAGGTTCGGTCGCTTGATAGCCGCTTCCTTAAGTCTAGATCCAGTTTTACATTAGATACGAAATCGGTCTAGTTATAGCAGCATGTTCTTTTCAGGTACTAAAATTATTACGGACTTTTTTAAACATGGAAAATCGAGAACTGAAGTTGTTGTCACGTGAAATAGCTTTTAAGTGTTCTATGCGAATAATAACGCAAAATGGCTAATTTTAGGGTAAAAGGTAATACTAACCACAGTCAAAAACTAGACAAGGTAATAGGCACAAAATCTAAGATATGTGAAATGTTTCGGAAATATGTATGCATAAACGACACCCATCTCTTCTTCTGCAGGCTACCATCACTTATCTTTGTTGATGTTTCTAATACTAGCTATGTTTATATTGGGAACTCATTTTCCGCAAACTTCAACCTGCAAATGCCCTGGTATGGCCGAGAGTGGGGCGGGCTCGCCCTCTCGAAATACTCTCACACGGCCACGCGCATACAGCCTATGCCAGGGAAGTCCCATTCACTGCCTTCTCGTGGCGGGGGTCTTGTTTACGAAAATGAGAGGACGAAAAGCGAATGTCTGGCGCTTTAACCGGATTCAAAACCAATGGTGCACATGGGCTCCAGTATCCTGTGGGAATAAATGGTGTATAAACCAATTTCTTAGTCACCGGCTACCATGGGACAGCATCTCCTCACGATGATCAACTGCCTTGTGGGTCAAACCTTTAGGTCAAAGGCTCGGGGTGTGGCCACTTAGGAAAACCACCTGCTTCGGTTTGGGCGCTCGGGTAGTATCACAACCCAAACACAAAAAATGATGAACTATCGATTTATGGAAAATATATATCGACTCGTTCCATGACGTTGGTACACTCTCTAGTTCCCAAACCTTTGTAAATAACGTTGTCAGTTCCTTGGCTGAAAAGTCACCACCATCTTTAAAAAGAGCAGGGGGTAAGTCATCTGGGCCAGGTGATTTGTAACGCTTCAAGAGTTGGAGTTCCTTGCGGACTTTCTCCTCGTTTGGTGGATCAGTCGTCACCGGCCATGGAGGGCAGGACAGTCTGACCGATGTTGCCGGAGCAGCAGGCCAGTTGAACTGCCCTTCGAAAAATTCTGCCCATCGTCCAAGACGTCGATGGATGTTAGTGATTGGCATCCCATCATCCTCACAGATTGTTTCATCCACATCAGAGTTCTTGCTGCAAGTGGCTCGGATGAGTTGGATGAGCTTCCGGTAGTTACCAGATGCAGCTGCTGCTTCCAGCTCATTAGCACGCTTCGACCACCAGGCTTCTCGGTCCTTACGCAAGCTTTGTCCGATTTCATTTCGTAACATCCTTCGTTTGTTGTAAAACTCATGGTCACTCGGAGTAGACCGACGGGCTTTTATGATTTGTAAGGAGCCTGAAGAAACCCAGTGCTTATAAGCGGCTTTACTCGCCATTTTCACGGCGTCATGAAATTGCAACCAATGCTCATCTATACTTTTCGGTGGAATAGTAGCCAGCCTAGAAGCTAGCTCGGATCGATACTTACTAGCAACAGAAGTTGCAACCAGCTTGCTAACATCAATTCTTTGGTGGCGGTCACTTCGTTGGCCACTGAAAAGCAAGGTAAGATTGGCGCAGACCAGGGCATGATCAGAGTCCATATAGGTACTCCAAAAGAAGCGGCAGTCTTGTACACAACCACGCCAGCAGTAGCTGATCGCGATGTGATCAATCTGAGTCAAGGCTTGAGATGCAGAGGGAGGACGCCAGTTGGCACATCGGCAATGACTGTGCCGGAAGTTAGTGCTAGCCAGAAACAGGTTGTGGTCTGTGCACAGTTGCAGTAGACGGTCCCTTTTATCTGTCCTGCGACCAACAAGTCCCCATCGGCCACCTAAACGACTCTCTTCTGTGCCTAGACGCCCGACCTGAGCATTCAATTATCCGGCTAGTACTACAATATCTGTCGAACGCACTTTCTGGAGAAGAACTGATAATTGGTGGTAAAACTCATCCTTGATTGCATCCGGGCTGCAATCTGTCGGGGCATAGGCGGAGATATCGAAAGGACATCGTTTCTCACGCCGATTTCTTCTCACTTCGATGGAACTTTCTAATCTAACAGCACATAACCGACTGTTAATGGGGATCCAATCGACTAGTGCTGCCTCAGCGTTAGCGCTTAGTATGACACCAACGCCAGCAAGACCAGACGAAGATGCCACAGGGTCCCCGGATAAATACACGCAAAACAAGCCTTTTGAAGCGATAGATGGAGATCGAATTTGTAGTAATTCACCAGTGTTGAATACGGGTCTCGGATAGACAACAGACATCGATATGAAGACTTTCCAAAGACATAGCCAGCCCTACGTGTTGTCCGACCTGCATAAGTGTGCGAACGTTGAAGGCAGCCAGTTTGAATGGGGCGCGTGGTTTCAGAAAAACTGCTTCAGCATTCGTGTTTGATGGTAGCATTCAATTTTCAATCAGGCAGTGACTCGAGAACGTTAGATAGAGCCGAATTTCCACCATAGGCGAGCTGCTGTATAAGTTGAAAAATGAGGATACACAGAGTGGGAATAAAGGAGAGTGAATAAGTGACGTACTAATTAATAATAATAATATTGGTCGTTTGATTGTTAATAGAATCGTGAATATAATTTTCAGTAAACATCAGCATTTTCATTTTATTTGTGTGTGGGCTGTGATACTACCCGAGCGCCCAGACCGAAGCAGGTGGTTTTCCTAAGGGGCCACACCCCGAGCCTTTGACCTAAAGGTTTGACCCACAAGGCAGTTGATCATCGTGAGGAGATGCTGTCCCATGGTAGCCGGTGACTAAGAAATTGGTTTATACACCATTTATTCCCACAGGATACTGGAGCCCATGTGCACCATTGGTTTTGAATCCGGTTAAAGCGCCAGACATTCGCTTTTCGTCCTCTCATTTTCGTAAACAAGACCCCCGCCACGAGAAGGCAGTGAATGGGACTTCCCTGGCATAGGCTGTATGCGCGTGGCCGTGTGAGAGTATTTCAAGAGGGTGGACACGCTTTCCACTCTCTCGATCGTACCAGGGCACTTGGAGGCATCACGTTAAGTTAAATGCAATCGTTCATCGTAGAACATCATCAGAACCCTGGCCTCTCGAAGTTGAGAATGTTGGCAATCAGTGTCCGTAGGTACGGTATGTGATTTGCACCTTTGAAAACTGACAGGATTCTAATGCTGTACTCACCCTGGATGGTGAGCAGATAGAAGTAGTCGAGAAGTTCGTGTATCTAGGTAGATGCATAAGTGCTGGTGGTGGCGTGAGTGCTGAGATCAATGCACGTACAGTGAAAACCAGAGCAGTTTATGCCAATCTGGGCCATCTTTGGCGCCTTCGTGATGTTAGTCTGACTGTAAAAGGTCGGATATAAAATAGCGTCGGTGAGAGCAGTTCTGCTCTATGCTTGTGAAACCTGGCCCCTCGGAGTTGAGAATTTTATACGACTCTGTGTTTGATCATCGTTGTCTCTGAAGGATTGCTGACATCCAGTGGCAACACCATGTTAGAAATACAGAGGTTTGGCATCGTGTGTTCGGGGACAGAGATGATTATGCAATTGGTGTTACCATTTTGAAACATCGACTTCGGTGGCTTGCATATGTTCTACGAATGTCGTCCCAGAGAACTCCACGTCGTGCATTATTTGCCGACGCTGGGACTGGTTGGAAAAAGCGGAGATGTGGTTAGTGTATGACATGGTGTCGTGGTATGAAAGAAAGCTCCAAAGGGCTGGCTTCTGTTGGTCCTACACGACTCCCTGGCTGGGGTCCGAGAGATGGTGCAACACAGTGGCTAGAGACGTTATCAGATGTGGCTCAGAATAGAAGCCAGTGGCGATCCTGCTGCAACCTTCCTTTACTTTTTTCATTAAAAAAATGGTTGTTTCTTTCTTAACTGAAAGGTTTTTTCTGATTGTACCTTTCCGTTTCCCCTATCATTACTATTATTATTTTTTTATTACTATTACACTACCTTACACTAATCTGTTCGTTATTGTTCTTTTTCCCTCTCTTCAAATTCTGATTGTTTTGTGTGGCGCATATATATTTGGTGCCCTCTTGTACCAATATTTGTGTTCAAATAAATAAAAATAAATAATTCCAAAACCCGAATACTGTCTCCATCAGTTCAATTAATGTTCTTGATATACTGCTCTCCTTTACTTCGAATTAATCACAACCTATTAAACCCCACACAATGGAGTTCGAAATCAATATAGCATTCCTGTTGTTGAGGGTTATCAGCCTACCGGAGGGTAGCTGAATTAGCGGTTGCATTCCACAACTTATCACGTCTCCCAGTTCACGCATGCTTGTAAGATATGGACATATATGTGAAGATATGGTTGATCTGAGCCATGTTGAGGGATGCAGACTTCCAGATAGGGC